TGCCGTGTTAGGCTTGATTGGCACTGAGCTGGCCTTAAAGTGTCCAGCCTTGCTACCATGAGCAGCTGTGCAGCGCACCAGAGAAAGCCCCGTGCCTGGCACCGTCCCTTCCAACTCCCACCATAGCCCCCTCCAGTCCTGTGGCCACTGGCGTGGAGACTTAGCAGGACTGGGCCCAGGAGTCCAGATGAAAATAATTGTGTTTAATCAGCAGCGGGGGGCCTGGTCTCCCCTGGTCCGTATTGGAGCTGTTTACTTCCTAGCCCACAGCTTCACCCTGGGCTCGGCGGTGCAAGGCGTGTGTTAGGCGCATGCCCTGTTCACATCACTGGCAGTGGGCTCACACACACACACACACAGAGTGGCTTGGCTCTGGGAGTTTAGTTGGTCCAGGAAAGGCTGGGACCCCAAAAAGCTGGAGCAGCAACAAGCAGGAAATACCTGCCTAGTGCCAGAGGCTGCTCTGTTGTGACAGCAGCCTGGTGCTCCAGGGCACCACATGGAGGGGTCAGTCGTGCTTTGATTCACAGCTGCTATCGCTGTCCTCTGGGTGAGTGAGTGGCTTGCCTGGAGGGAAGAGCCCTCGATGCAGCCAGCGCTTCGCTTGGCTCGTACAAACCCAAAGCAGCTCACAGGGGCAGGCCTGCGGTTGCTAAGAGAGCTCATGTGCTTGTTTATTGGCAGTGGGTGACCATGCGCTGGCTGGTTAATCTGTCCTGCTTTGCGGTGGGTGGGGGCTGATGGCTGGGTCCCAGGAGCTGCTGTTTTATCACTTTGGGAAGGTGTAGGCCCTGGCTGGCCGAGGTGGGGACTGCTGGCTCTAGCTGTGCGCTGGCTGAAGTGATGGGCTGCCAGGCTGAACGAGGTCAGGGTGCCGACACATCCAGGGAAAGCAAACGACATGTCGAAAGCAGCATGGACATTCGTCAAGCAGGACCGGCTGGTGCAGCAGTGCTCGGGGGCAGGAGGGTTTCTGGGCTCTCCGATGCCTGGGGGCTGTGGGGTCGGCAAGACCCTCATTTATTAAACTCCCTTTGACTGGCTAACAAGCTCGCTGTGTGCTGCGCAGAGACCGGCTTTGGGACCTGGGGTTCGGAAGCTGGCGGAAGCTGGTCCCTTCCCAGGTGACACAGGGGTGTGGTGGGGTCGGCTCCATTCTTCCCCACCGTTACCCTGGGCTGCACCACTATGCTCCCTTTCCAAAGTAACAGTTAGCCGTGGCTGGGGCAGCAGGATGGGGCCAGCCGGGGTTGCGCAGAGCACCTGGCCCCCCCGACCCAGTGCCCACCCCGGCAAGGTGCGAGGAGGAGGCCGCAGGGCCCATGCTATGTGCACCCCAACAGGGGCCCCAGTTGTGCTAATTGACTCGGCCTTGTTGTGAGGGTCTCCCCGCCACACCCCACAGTTTAACTCTCCTCTAGGGCTGCACAGGTTGGGGGCGCCCCAGGGCAGAGCAGACCTGCTCCAGGGTTGTTTGCAATGGGCCTGCAGGACCCCTTTGCAATCTGTCTGCACATCCCATCTCTGGGGGCAGGGAGCAGAGCTCTAAACTGGGCACTCGGTGTCCCGTGTCCAGCCTGAATGGACCAGTCACCTTGGCCCCACACTGAGAGTTTGTACGAGTGCCCTTCCCCTGAGCTAGCCAGGCCCAGGAAGGGTCCATGGGTGGGAGGGGACAAGTATTTGCACCATGGAAACACGTCAAACCAAGGCCTGGGCTGAGAGCGAGCAGGACGGAGTCACACACCCTTAGGCGGGACAGGCAGGGTTTGAAATCAGTGGTAAAACTGCCATTGACGCCCAGGGAAAACCGCTCCCTGAATGCGCCATCAGCCTCGGTCGTTTGGATGCTGGTAGCAGCACGGGGCCACGATCCAGGTCCTGTTGCAGTCCAGGCACTGTGCCAGAGCCTTTGATGGTAGCAGGGTCGGACTGGCGGGCGAGGAAATAAGCGTGACTGTCCCTTTTACTGAAATTGCAAAGTAACGGCTGGCCCCAGGGCGGGGAGCTCAGTGCAGCCAGCGCAGTCGGCACATGAATCTGACTTTGGTGCCTGGCGCAGCTCTCACGTGCTGAGCTGCATCGGGAAGAGCAGCAGCAACTGGGCTGATTCGGGCCCTGGCTCCTTAGGAAACCCCTGAAAGCTCTAAGATGAATCCCCTGCAGACTGCACAGTGGGGCCTTTGTGTGTGTTCAGACGGCCAGCATTAGCTGGACACGTGAATACCACCATGTCTTTTGCCATCAACAGCTTATTACTGTTTACAATTTGGCAGCCGTTCAATGCTTGGTCTTATTACCACTGAATCCAGGAGGATTTGGGGGGCGCAGCAGATGCTTAACGACGTTTCATTTTCCCAAGTGGGCCATTAATGCCAAACAGCCTTTTGTCCCCATGCGCAGCCTCAGCCAAAAAGGAAAAGCGCTTCAGCCCATTCATTCAGCACTCTGCCTCCTTGCAACATACCGCCTCATTAGGAAACTCCACTCACATGGCACAGGACCTATGGTGGGTAAAAGGGCCGGCGAGTTTTCTCGAGCTGGTGGCTGGACTGGAGCATTGGGGCTGCATAATATGCACTGCCGTAGACACAGCAAAACAGGGCAAGTCTTTGCAAAGAGCAGCAAGAAGTCTTAGCTCGCACAGAATATTAGTGATTCCAAGTGCTGTAGAGATGTTAGCTAATTAAGCTGTATCTAATGCTTTGCCTGCAAGAGCAGCGGGACCAGGTACTGCTGATAGGTTAGCTGATCAGAACGTCCTATAGAAACAGGGCAAACTCATCTCCCCTGTGTGCTGCAGGTTTGCTTTGTGGGGGCTGACTGCACACAGGAAGGGGAGAGTAGCTCTGTAGGGACCGCCAGGAACCGACCGGACAGGCATCTTCAGGCACCTGGTGGCCCTGCTCTCCTCTGGGCTAGCCTGGCCCCGGCAGGGCTGCGCTCAGACTGGATTTCATTGTCCAGCGAAGCTCAAGAGCACTAGAAAGTTGGGCTTACCTGGCTGACCTTGTTCTGACCCCACAGCTGCGGCTTTATCCCTTCTTAACCTTACCTGACTGTTGCTTCACACATGGAAGGCAAGTATGGGGTTGGCAGTGAGGGACTGGGCGCGTGGTACGGGCTTAGTGGCACGGCAGCGCTGCTGGCAAAAGAGAAGCCCCTGGCTGAGCCAGCCTGCCAGCAGAGCTCAGCGCTCGTGGGGCCATTAGGAACCGGGCTGCCCTGGCTGCCAGCTGGGTCCATTTCCTGACTTCCCACGTGAGTGTGCTTGGGTTTATTCCTAGCCAGTACGTCTTGAACTTCAGCTGCAGAGTTACTGTTGAGGCTTCGTTTCAGAAGTGACTGGCCAGGACAGGGAAATCCTGCCGCCGCAAAGGCAGCAGGGCTGTCGAACACTTTCCAGGTGTGGAGACCTGCTGAGAGGGCTGGAGGGTGCTGCACCAGTGGAGATGCTGGTGTTTCCGTGGGCTCTGTAGGATTAGCGCGTGAGCTCTGGGTCCTAAGGGCAGCACCCAGCCAGCTCCTTCCATTCATGTCCTCTTTCCCCACTCAGCCCGTTGGCGACTCGGTGGATTTTGGACTCTGGAGGAGGCGGTGCCGCCTGGCTTCCTGCTTTGTGTTTTCTGATATTTGAAAGGCTTGTAGACTTCCCGGCACTGAGTCCAATGCACAGCAGTGAGGGCCCTTCCCGCCCAGTAACTGTCTGGGGCCGCGCTTGTTCTGGGTCCAGGAAGCTAGGATTTAGCTAGGGCGAGAGGGGATTTCGCCCCGTGGATATTCCTCTGGGGGCGGGGGGGATGCTCCGGGAGCCCCGTGTGCTGCATGATTTGTATTGTTGTGGTGTTTGGGGGCCCAGTCATGAACCAGGACCCCGCTGTGCGGCGCTTTAACTACACGTGAGCAGCTTTTTAAAGTTCATTTTCCTTGTCTGCTGAGTAATTTGGATGTAGCACTTGGGTGTAGAATCAGCTGCATTTCCGAGGGACAGCACGTTGGTAATAGGGACAGCCAAGGAAAGGAATTCATGAGTGAGCCCCTGTTGCGGCCTGGGGAGGGGGGGGATACCCCAACCTTCGCGAGTGGCCGGCCCCCCCAAAGGGAGATATTTGGAGGTCACGCCTCGGGGCTGGCCCAGCTGGGGCTCGGGGTCATTTCGGAGCGACAGGGAGTTGTCCCCACTGTGGGGCAGTAACATTGTGAGGAGGCAGTTGGGGGAACCATCCCCCCACTTGGCCAGAAGAGCCCTAGGCCCCAGAGCAGGATGATGCCGGGGCAGCAGGGCACTGCCTGGCTTTGCCATGCCCACCCCCCATGCAAAGCAAACCCCTTCCTGAGGACCCGGCATGGGTGCGATTCCTGAGCCCTCTGCCCCCCACAGCCCACTTGGCGCCACCTCAGCTCTATGGTGGGAGGGGGCTTGGGCCCAGCTGGCCCAAAGCACCCGAGGCGCTAGGCTTAGCCAGAGGCAGGTGTAGGGGATGCAGCTGCAGGAGTTGGCTGAGATTAGACGGAGATTCATCCCCAAGTGCAGAGTCCAGGGTGGGCAGGTTCCCCAGGTGATTTCAGACGGATCAGAGAGCAGCTTCCCTCCCATCTGATTCTGGCCGGGGGCTGTACCTGGCTCTTCCAGATGGGCCGCCCCCATGTCACCCGGACTCCGCTGGGCCCTGCGGTCCATCAGCAGGCAGAATGCAGCAGCTCTGTGCTCTGGGACCTACACCCGCTGCCTCTCACTTTCAGGGTAGGTTTTGACCTCCAACGCCCCAGGTGCTTGGGAGCGGCCTGCGTGGGCAATGCCTCTCCCCCGTCCTGCTGCAGGGGAGCTCAGCCGCAGCTGCAGGGCTGGACAGAAGCTGCCCACAGGGCCCTGACTCTCCCCCAGTTCCAAGTGGCCCGAAGCTGCTGAGCTCCAAGGTGCAGTTTGAGGCCACATCCTCTGGCTCGGGGCTCAAGTTTCCTGCGAGTCTCCTCACCACATCCCCTCTTCCTCCCGCCAGGTTGCAAGTCGTTCAATATGATGTCCCCAACCGGTGACAACTCCGAGCTGCTGGCAGAGATCAAGGCTGGGAAGAGCCTCAAGCCGACTCCGCAGAGCAAAGGCCTCACCACTGTCTTCTCAGGCAGCGGCCAGGCGGGGGCCAATGTAGGTGACTGGCTGGCCCCGCTCCACTCGGGCCTCGCTCAGCCAATTGTCTCTTCCGGGGGAGGGAGCTGGGTTAGGAACCGGATTAACTTTTTAATTAAGGGCGGCAAATTTGATTGGCTGCAATTGTCACAACAAGCTGGAATCCTCAGCAAAATTTAGCATGATCCGCTTTGTGCTGTAAGCAGGGAGCCGCCGGGGAGGGGTGCTGGGAGCCCAGGCGGGAGGGGCACTTTCCACAGGAGACAGCCGCTGCTCCCAGTAATCCCAGGGGCCCATGGAGCCCTGGAGAGTCGTGGGCAGCGATCGTCCCTGGACGGGCTGTGTACTCCAGCGCTAAAACCCAGGCAATGGCAGGCCTTCCCCCGCAACCCCATGAGCCCGCTCCCCACAGAGCGTTCTGGCCAGGAGTCAATGGACCCTTCCCCCCGGGGGAGCCGCCAGCCACTGTCCTCACTGCAGAGCACCCAGCAAAGAAAGCGGGCTCGCCCCAGCCAGGAGCAGCTGTCCAAACGGGGCACCAGCCCTCCTAGGGAGCGCTGGGGTGGGGAGTCTCCAAAGCACCCCAGAGCCAGCGTGGCCCCCCGAGGCAGGGCTGCTGTGAGGCTCCCGCGTGTACAGGGTCAATGGGTCTGACAGGAAAGAGGCTCCTTTCCCGGGGCTGTTTTGAGCCTTCCTGTCGAATTGAGTTCTGTGACTCACGCTGCACCCCGAAGCCCCAGGATCCGCAGGGCCAGGCGCTGTACAAGCACCTAGCGAGAGGCAGGCGCTGCCCCAAAGCCCATACAACAGATGCTGGGCGAGGGGAGGAGAATGGCAAAGCTCAGCCCCTCTCCGGAATGGCTCAGACACCTGGAGGAAGGGTCTCGGTCCCCACGGCTGCAGGGGCCGGGCTCCCCAGCACAGAATGTCCCGCACACAGGACTTACTTTGCAATGACAGAGGTGCCGGGACTCAAGCAATTTTTTAACTTTCATAACTGAGGCAGCAAGTCCAGAGGTGCTGGGGCTCTGAACCGCCAGGCCCAGAGGAGCTGGGGCTAGGAACTGCCAGGCCCAGAGGGGCCGGGCTCTGAACCGCCAGGCCCAGAGGCGCCGGGCTCTGAACCGCCAGGCCCAGAGGCGCCGGGCTCTGAACTGCCAGGCCCAGAGGGGCCGGGGCTCTGAACTGCCAGGCCCAGAGGGGCCGGGGCTCTGAACTGCCGGCCCAGAGGCGCCGGGACTCTGAACCGCCAGGCCCAGAGGTGCCAGGCTCTGAACTGCCAGGCCCAGAGGGGCCGGGGCTCTGAACCGCCAGGCCCAGAGGGGCCGGGGCTCTGAACCGCCAGGCCCAGAGGGGCCGGGGCTCTGAACTGCCGGCCCAGAGGCGCCGGGGCTCTGAACTGCCGGCCCAGAGGCACCGGGACTCTGAACCGCCAGGCCCAGAGGTGCTGGGGCTCTGAACTGCCCGGCCCAGAGGTGCTGAGCCTATGAACTGCCCGGCCCAGAGGTGCTGGGGCTCTGAACTGCCAGGCCCAGAGGTGCTGGGGCTCTGAACTGCCAGGCCCAGAGGGGCCGGGCTCTGAACTGCCAGGCCCAGAGGTGCCGGGCTCTGAACTGCCAGGCCCAGAGGGGCCGGGGCTCAGCCCCAGCAAGCTCTGGCACAAATTAAGCACTGCCAGCATGGGGCAGAGGGAGTCCGCGGCTGATCGGGGTCCTGGGCTCCCTCCCGCGGGGAGGCGGGTAGCTTCTCTCTGAGCGAGCGCCTTCTCACATAGCATCTCCCTCGTGTCACATCACGCCCTGAACTAAAGCCCTCTCCTCTTTCTGCCATCCAGCTAGAGACTGCAGCTTCCTCCCTGCCCCCCGCGAGGACGCTGACCCCACCAACCACGCCCGATGCAGCCTCCGTCCCCAGGGCTGCCAGCTCCCCTGAGCCAGTCGTCAACGGCAACTCGCCGCTCATGGCCTCGGTGCAGCCCAGCCAGCTGGACATCGAGGCCCTGATCCCCACCCACGACGAGCAGGGGCGGCCCATCCCCGAGTGGAAGAGGCAGGTGATGGTGCGGAAGCTGCAGATGAAGATTCAGGAAGAGGAAGAGCAAAAGCGCAAGGTAAGAGGGAGGGCGGCCCTCCAAGTGCTGCAGTGCGGTGTGCTGTGACCGTCCCCTGCCGTGTGCTGTGAGGGGGCCAAGGCCGTGAGAGGGGCCTGAGACAGCCGCTCTAACTGCTCTTGGGTTGGACCCGGCCGCTCAGAAAGGGGGACGGGGAACACAGGAACCAGCGAGCCTCGGCCAGCCAGGCTGCACAGGGCAGAATTTGGGCCTCCGGGACAGGTAGAGGAAAAACCCCTCATCCCTCCCAGCCAGCAAAGTGCATTATGGGAGAGGCAATCATCAAGGCTTGGTGCAGACTAGCAGCCCCGGTGCAGCTCAGGTTGGTTCCAGGCAGCAGCTCCTTGTGTTGATAACGCTGAACAGGCAGGAGTCATTACGCGTGCCCAGCTAGTAGAGTCGGGCATCCAACAGAGCCTGCGACTTTATCTCAATGGCTACAGGAGAAGCAGACAGCCCAGCGTCTAACCCATAAACCCCCTGTTTAACCCCCGATTTCCCTTGGGCCAATAGGCAGGAGTTCAGAGTTTTTCACCTTCAGAAACACGTCTTGCGTTCTACTCAGCATTGCCCAGAAAGCGGCTACAGGTTGGCGCGCCAGCACGTCCACTCGTTTGGGGCGTTCGTCAGAGAGTGCTGGGGTCGGGGGAAGCGTGTCCGACTTGATGGCCTGGCTCCCCCACCCCCAGAAATGAGAGGGCAGGCTCCCACCTGCTCTGCTGAGCGGCCCAAGGATTCCAGTTGGGTTCAGGTGCCCACGAAGGGATGGGTCATGCCATCCTGGCTCACAGCGGGGGGAACTGCTTGGTGAGTACATCAGTGAGGCTCTGTGCGACAGCGGGAGGCCAAGGTGCACTTGTGCAGCACGGTCTGTCTGTATCCATGCACACCCTGCTGCGCTAGGGCCCACGCAGCCACACTAGCACTCACGACTGACACACCCAGACAGGCCCCGGTTCTGCCAGGCAGCCAAGGTAGCCCTACAGCGGGAGGAAAGCTTTGTGATGCAAAACCTCCCCAGAGGCAAGCCAAGGCCACAAGCCATCCCAGAGTTCAGTCTTTGCTAAGCTGCTTCTTGAGTGCGGTTCCCCAAGGGCTGCAGAGACGGGATCCATGGAAGGCCAGGCTGGCTGGCATGTCCTGGAGAACCAGAGAGGGGCCATGTAGGAGCCACCCACAGCTCAGGGCATGTTAGCATGAGGGACAGCCCCAAGCGGAAGGAACATGCAGTCTGGGTGACACCTTTGTCCAAGAGCAGAGGCAAGCAAGCGGCTGCTTTCAGCCCTGCAGAGACGCTTGCTCTCACGTCAGCCTGGGCTTGTTGTAGAAACCAAATGCAGAGCAAGGTGGGTAAACAGACTGGGCAGGGAGGCCAGGGGAAGCATCAAGGTCAAACCATATTTAAGACCTTTGCAGATGTGGTGGATTTTTCACAGCATCGTCTCCTGGGTTTCTCGTTAACATGGAAGGTGCTCGGGTACAATGGTGATGTGGTGGACACCGTTCCAGACCCTAAGAGAGACCCAGTCACAGAGTGGGTCTGTCTGGAGGAGTCCAGCTGGTACCATGAGCGGCAATATGCCTCCTGGCGAGATGAAAGAACCCTCCCCACAACCGAATGAACATCTGCATGGACAGACCCCTGGGGGGCTGGGCCCCTCCCTCCACTGCAGTGACATTCCTGCCGAAATGTGGTGAGGATTTGTATCCCACAGCGTCTGTACTGACTCCCCCCGCCATAGCAACGCGTGCATTGCCTTGCTCCATGTGGATTGTCTGAAGAGGGAGGCTGGGCGGAGATTTCTGAAGCTGACCAGACAATTGATCAGTGTCCCACACACGGCTCCCAGCCAGGGTAACGGGGGTTAGTGCAGCTAGTGGGCTTGGAAAAATCTCAGCCACGACTGATGCAGCAAGAAGCTTTTTATTAATTGAAAGGGCTCAGGGGAGGATAACCAGGACCAAGGCTCAGTCCCCAGCACTGCTGTAAGAGCTGCCACAGCATGCTGGGTAAGGCACAACAGCCACGCCAGCTGGACTCGGGAACAGAGTGAGCTCACGTCCAGGGCAGTAGCCAGAACGGGCTGCTAGCCTTTCCTGGCGGGGCTCGGGCTGGTTGTGCCGGGGCTGCTCAGAGGCCTGTTCCGGCTGCCTTGGGAATTCGACAGGTCCTGCTCAGCAGTGATTTGTTCTGCTGAGAGTAAAACAACGCTGACGGTCAAAGAGCCTGTGGTTCTAACGGGGAGCTGTCCTTCCTCCGATTCCTGCTGCAATGGATCTCTGCAGTTCTGATGTCAGCTCCATTGGGCTGGAGCCGCCTACCCCTTGCAGGGCTCTTACATCTGGGTAAATGGTCAGTTGTGGAGGATTAATTCTAAAGAAATCCGTAAGCCCCCATTAAAACCTACCTTAAAACCCTGCCACTGCGCAATCCCTTCAGCCAGGCCATCTCAGTGCTGTTAGAAAGTGACCCTAAAAGTCAGTGATTTGGGGGTGCAGAGGAATTACTGGCGCTCTCAGCTTGAGAAGTCTTTATTTCTCCAGTTGTTTTCTGGGCTTGGATTTTCTTTTAGACGCAGTTTGTTAGGGCCGAAGCCCAGTCCCCAATTATTTTCCTTCTGGACATGCCTTGTTCACACGGAGGACTTGGCTTCCCTTCAGAAATGTTTGACCCGTTAAGATTTGGGTGTGTGCTGTGGAGAGTTCTGCATGAATTGAAGCATTCGGCATGAGTCTGAGCTCTTTGCAGTGTTCTGGTCAACTCTGAGATGCATTTAAACTGCAGTATTTAGCACACGTGGGGCTATCGACTATGAGCTACGCCTGTCACCTGAGCTGAAAGCTCCATCACGGGTCAGCTATTAACAGCTGGTAGAGGGTGCCCACTCCATCCAAACCAATGATCGCCCAGAGCTGCCATTTTCTACTTTAAAATGAGGACCCAGGGGAGGTTTATAAACAAAACCAAACCCCTCAACTCTCCCATTTCACACGGAGATGATACTGCAGGTTTAAATGTCTTACATGGTCATTCAGTGGTGTAATGAGTGAGCGGTTCCTGGAAGCATCTGCTGCTGTATCCTTCGATCAGGGACTAGCAACAACATATTCTTAGCAAAGTTCTCTCTCCAGCAGAGTGTGCGCGATGCAAACAGGCGCTCGCCTCCAGCCTCATTGCCTCACTCCATTGGCTTTGTATCGTCTGCCTTTGTCTACACTCTCCTGCCCTCTCCTTGCGCTCAGTATTTCCAGCCTGCCCATTGCCATTACACCACTAAGGACATGTAAAGTCTAGAGCGTGTGCAGAGAAAGGACAATGTGGAGCTGTGTCCTGAGGGAGATGTTTTTTCCCCCCTGCCTTAGCTTGGGACCGGGAGTTACTACAATCACGAAGGCTGGAGGTATTCCCATGCACACAATGGCATTCTGGGACCCTTCGGGCAGCTGATGACTGAGGAGGACATAATCCGCATTGAGAAGCAAATCGAGAGCCTCCAAGTGATGCACAAAGTTCAGAAGGTGGAGACGGAGCTGGAACAGCTAGAGCATGAAATGCAGCAGCTCCTGCCGCTCTCTGCCGCCTTGGCAAAGGAGCATTTCACGGCAAACCCCAAGCGCATGCAAGGCCGAGCCGATGACCTCCCGGCCTGGTGCAGCAAGATCTCCACTCTCCTAAAGAGCATGGCCATCCTCCTGGCTATGCTTGGGGGCAAGGCGGTCAACCTGGCAGACATGGTGAGCCCCGACACGTCCGAGCACACGGGCCAGACCGCGAGCACCTCGCCCGAGGCAGCACCACTAAAAGAGGGCCCTGCTAACATCGGGAGATCACAGTCCTTCAGCTGCACTCGGGAGGAGGTGGAGAAGGAGATCATGCAATGTGGTGTGTCGGTGAAGAACCTGAAGGCCAATTATGAGTTGCACACGCTGTACCAGCTGCCGGAGGCTGTGTCCAGCAGGGTGTACAAGCGGAAGAGGTCCCTGCCTGTGGGAACCATGCCATATAGCTACGGCCGAGAGCCCATCCTGGAGGAGGATTATATAACGAGCGGTGATCTGTTCAGTGCGCTAAGCGAAGATGCTGCAGCGGATGGCATCGAGCCATCCAGTATGCTAGAGCACGCTCCCTTGCCCTACTGCGAAGCAGGGCCCCGGCCCTCCAGGGATACAGAGGCACAGAGTGCGGCCACGGAGCCTTTCGGGGAGGCCCTGTTCAGCCCCGACCACCTGACCAGAAGCCTCCCCGTGCAGACGGAGCTGAGCTGCGTGCAGGATTACATCGACATGCGGAAGGAGCGGATCGTCTACCTCTTCCTGGAGCACTGGAAGAAGTGGACGTTCACCGAGTCGGTTAGCCACGCTCGCCCCAAGAGGAAAATGGGTCTCGCCGAAACGCTCGACTCAGAGTTCAGCAAGGAGCCCAAGGCATATAGCAGCGCCCCAGTCCCCATGGCGACCGGGAAGAAACCCAGCGAGGATGACCGGCTCTTGTACTTCATGAAGCAAAGGCAGGTGGTGGGGAAGCTGATCGCCCACTGGAGAAGCATCATCAGCCAGGTCCCGACGCGGCAGATCCGCCGTCTGAGCCGCACCAACATGTTGTACTGGCCCGAGCACTTCCTGCCGCACGTCTGTGGCTCCCCAGTGGAGTACGACAGCCTGACGCTGGACCTCTTCATGCTGGGCTACTTCCAGCTCCTGGAGATGAGCATGAGCCGCGAGGAGAGGAAGTTCCGGCACCTTCTGTGCTACGAGATGTTTGACCGGCTGGGCAGCCACAGCTGGGAGCTCATCCGTCAGTTCCACAAGGTGGTGATGGAGGAGATCGAGGCCGGGAAGCGGGACTGGCTGGATGGCTTTGAAGATCTCAAACAGGAGTTCTTTGGGGACAGCCTGGAGCCGGAGCAAGCGGCCGCAGTGGAAACAGAGGTCCCAGCAGGAACCCAGCCTCCACAGCTGGTCCATCAGGAATCCTGCCAGAGCTTAGACAGTGATGTCCCACAGCCCGCTCCAGCGCCTGATGAACTGGGCCTAGCCCCTGCCCCTAAGAGTAGGGAGAGCTCCATCCAGCTGGTCTCCGAGCTAGGCGAGTTCAGTAATGAGGACATTTGTCGCTATATAGACCGTAGCTTCTCCTTCTGGAAAGAGAAGGAGGCAGAGATGTTTGATATCTGAGCTCTCCCCAAGCAGTGCACAGGACACGCTGTGTTAGAAGCAGGCAGGGGCATCCACACCCTCGCCCCACACGGCTCACAAGTCGCAGGGAAAGGCGATCGCATCCTCTTTGAGGCGGGATGTTGGTCCATCTCATAGAGGGAATTGCTGGCTGAGAAGCAGCTCCAGGGACAGCAGGGGACAATCAAAAGTGCGCCGGCACCAGAGTACTTGACAAGGGCTGCTTTGGCTCAGTTAATTACTTGAGGGACCCGTTGTATTTCCAAGATGAACTGAGCTCCAACAGCTGTCTGAGCCCAAGACAAACCTTTGGGGAGAGACCTGTAATCATTTTATATGATGCCTAGGTGAAGAGCTATAAAACAGAAAAAAGAAGCACATATTCCCCGGCTGCACCCAGTACAGGATTCTACTGTGCAGACTAGGGACTCTGAATAGAAACAATTTAGTGTTCATGTAAGTAGCGTCAGAGGGGCCCCAATCCTGCAATCATTATTCAGGCAGGACTCCCATGGGCTTCAGCACTCCAGTGACCTCAATGGCAGTTTGGTTTGCATAAGGATGGCAGGATTAGTCCCAGAGTCTGCTGTGTTTTGTTGAATCCTGAATTCCCTACATGGACAGTCTCAACAGAGTCCTCGTCTTTCTCAAGTAAAGCTTCTTGTGTAGCCGATGCTCCCTGCTGGCTGAACTGACCAGGGTGCGGCTGTAACCATGTGTCACATGAAGTTGTGGCTGGTTGCGGTTTTCTGTAGGAGGTGGTCCATGGATTTTCCTCTCGAGCAGTGTGTACATTTGCTGTAGTCCTGCATTAGCTGGAGGAAGAGCTAATCCCTGACAAATGTACAGTGACACAAGCTGTCTCCAGTTTTCTGCATTTTACAGACACTTCTTTAGCTAAATGTTTCCTGTAGCCGGGGAGCCAGTGATTTGGGAGTAGGAACTGGTATGAGCAGCTCCATCCTTCCTCTGGCGAGGTGGAGGAACACGCCACAGTTGCCCTGGGTCCATACTGAGCACAGGCTGAGTGCTGTACTAATTGGTCTCACAGTGCATGGTTCTGCAACCAGATTAGCAATTCCGTAGCATGTTCAAGCTGTGTGGCAAATTCCCTTTGATGCTGTGTGCTTTCAAACTACAGACCACTGGGCCCACGCTGTTCTCTGAGGATTCCCAAGTCTGTTGCTTGCCCTAGTGGAATGTGCATGGCTTGGAATGGAGATAGGACCAGAGTGTTTATTGTATAGACATTTGGAAATGAGGTTTGCTTTACAATGGGGGGAGGGGGTGTGTGTGCGCACTTTGCATCTTCCCTAACACTGCTTGTGACAATGAAGGAATAAAGCTCTCTGCTCTCAGAAGGGAGTGTCGAGGCTGTTTCAGTGGGATTTGGTGCCCTCGACACCTTGCTCTGGGGCACTGGCTGTTCCAAGCCCAGTGTCCTGCAAACACCCAAGGAATAGGGCCAGTAAGCTCTTACCAAATGCATATTTGACCTGGTGAATGTGGCCTGAAGCCCAGCGCCCAGCCTGGCTCCTGCAGCATCAAAACAGTCAACTTTAAAGAACGAAAAAGGGGGGGGGTGTAGATGTAGGTGTGCCAAGCCCGCACCCCTGCCCTTTCCCAGCAGCTGGAAAGCCCTACAGGCCAGCGCTCTTGTACTGCCTCACGTCAGCTAACTGGGTGTTGGAGCTCCCGCCCGGGAGTAGCCCTGAGGGTTCACGCTTCCATGGGCCAGTAATCAAGCTAGACAGCAGGGAGGAGAGATCCAAGCATGGTGTGTGGGGAAACTTCCATCTGGCATCGCCCCGTGGGCCCGATCCTGCTGCCAGTGGTTTTGGTGGTGGCAGGGTTGGGCCCCGTCTCATGGAGACACACAGATGAAATCAGAACCAGCCTGAATGCTGCCCCCAGCTCTGAGCATGCAGGGCTCTAACTCCATCACAGGCACATTTCACGGCCTGGTCTATTGCCAAGCCTGGTTCCAAAACCCGTTGTGACACAAGAGGGGCTGTTCTCCCAGCATCCCCAGCACAAGCCAGGAATTACCTACACGCTCGCTCCCATGGGACGCGCCGACCAAGAGGGGCTGACAGACTCTCAGGGGCTTAGCTAGCCCGTGAGAGTCGCTCTCCGCAACCAAACCAGGCGTTAGACGGCAGCAGAGCCATGCTACTGAGGGTCCCACCAGGTCACAGCCCCAACACTGCCTGGGAAGCAGGGGCTAGTGCAGGCCAGAGCTCACGGCCTCTTCTCCCACGGCTGCACATGAAAGCGGAGGCATGCGGTGGTGAGGGACGGGTCCTGCATACACCTCTTTACAAAGCTAGAGAACCGGCTCCTCAGAAACCATCAAGCAACCTGGGAAAGGGGGAGTTACAGGAAGGTTTGCTCACGCCACAGGTGCTGCCTCTGCTGTGTGGCGCTGTTGATTAATCAGGACACGTAACCTAACCTGGACGTCCCACGTGGCGTTAGTGCTGCCCAAGAGCTCTGGGGTAGCCTGCATTGCTGTCAGACTGTCCCAGAGCCGTTGGTCAAGCCGTCTGCTGTAGCCAAATGTGCCTGGTCCCACACCAGACCTGATTCATTCTTTCAGTCTTAGGGGAGTGGTTGGCTTGGGGGGATCAGTGATCGGCTGCAGGGATATAGGCCTCTGCCCCCCACACTAGGTCCCATCTGGTCACCCATCGTTAGCGCTTGGCTGAAGACTGAGGCGTAAGGGCCAGGATCCCATCCTGTGGAGTTACTCTGCGATCACACTGCTGGGATGGAGAGCAGGCCTGGCCCGTCCCGTTCAAATCTAGCTCTGGAAGTAAAGGCTGAGAGACGGTCCTGTTGGCTGTCGCTTTGGTGGCCTGGGGGAGGCTGGTGTTTTTAATCCCATTCCCTCATCAAACACTAAAATAGCATCCCCTGGGCTAGCACTAACGGGCAAAGCCACCAACTGCCCAGAGGGAGGATGCTGAACTAACCTCTCCCCTCTCGAAGGGGCTGTCCAGGGCAGGGTGCGGCAGAGTGCTGGGGGCAGCACAGGGGACCTTGCACCTACCGTACTACTGCCTATGCTAGACCAGTTTGGTCATGGCCATGCGTGAGCTCCCTGCCAAGCAGTGCTGAGATCAGCCATCAGCCGGCCTGCAGCAATCTTCCACCGCTCTTCCTCTGGCGTCTGGCTCACGTTCACTGAGTCACACAACCTGTCCCCTGCCGTGGTCCCGAGAGATGCCCCCGGCTGTGCCTGAGAACTGTCCTAGCAAGCTGGACGGAGGGGCTGCGGACACACAGCTCATGCAGCAATGGAGAGCGCGTGGGGAACACTGGCGGGATTATTTGCGAAAAGGCCCATGTGGCGTGCCCAGCCCGCAGAGCCCGGTGTGTAGCGAGCCAGAAGCAGGGCATGCGTCTGCCCCTCCATGCGGTGCCATTTCTACTTTGCTCTTAGGCAGGCCCTAGGCAGGGCGGTGCCAGTACAAACAACCCTCTGGTGGCCGCGGAGCCCATGCCCCGCTCAGCGCGAAGTCTCCTTCAGCACAAGTGGAGCATTGAGCTCCTGCCCCTTGTAGAACGGCCCTGCTAAGCTCTGGCCAGCCCAGGGTACCAGGAGCTACCCAAGTGTCCCTCCTCGCCAGCCAAGCCGCTCAGCTGAGGAATGTTCTGCTGACTTTTGGCCAGGTGGGGGTGCGCGTGTTAGCGGGGCCTGGCCCCCCCAGAGCTGTCTGACTCTAGCCACAGCCACTCCCTGCTCAGGGCCTGTTGCGTCAGGGCAACGGCGGTGCCGTGCTCTCCGTTGCACACCCTCCTTTCTGGGGGGCAACGGGCCGTTCTCTGTAACCTTCCATGTGTCCTCAGGGTTCTCCCTGCCCTTGGCAACGGTGGCACCTCTGCCTTTCCCTGCAGCCTCTTGGGTCAAAACTCCCCCAGACGCCACATGGCCACCTGAGAGCCACGGAATTCCCCCTCCCCCTTTGGCAGCCCTGCCCGATCGACCGGCTGTCTCCCCTCTTGGCTGCTTGGGCTGGTCCAGCTCCATAGGGCTGGCCTAGGTGAGACGCGTCCTCCAGCCTAGCTCTCCTGTTCCTGCTGCCCTCCCTCCAGCTCTGCAGGGGCTCACGGGCCTCCCTAATGCCTTTTACTGTCTTACAGGAGAAGGAAGAAGAAGCTCGCTTGGCCACCATGCCAGCCTGGAGGCGAGAGATCCTGCGGAAGAAGATGGAAGAGGAAAGGTGAGTTGTCCCCGAGCTGGGCCATGACGGTGGCTGCCCGATAGCTGTGCCGCTGGGAGCTAATTGTATTTTCTTTCTCCTTGTTTTCACAGAGAGCAAAAACGGTGAGTCCTGCTTCTCCATTTACCTCTCAAGTAGCCTAAGAACCCAGTCCGTTCACTCCTGGCCAGGCCTCTGTACCCCGGCAGGGCCAGACGAAGCAGGCTTGTGTGCTTTGCTTTGCTTATACCCTCGCTCCACACCGACCAGTTCAGGGTCAGGTGCCTGAGCTTTGCAACCAACATCCCCATGTTTGTTTTGTTTCTAAACAGAAAAGAGCAAGAAAAATTGAAGCGCGAAGAGGAGGCGAAGGAGAAAGCGCAGTCAGAAAAGCTAAGGACTCTTGGGTACGATGAAACAAAACTAGCCCCCTGGCAAAGGCAAATTATTCTCAAGAAAGGGGATATAGCAAAGCATTAGGCGCTCCATATTCCCGCTCTCCTCTTGGGAATGTAAGAACTTTCTTCCTTAACGTGAGCTGTTCAGTAGGTCAAGGAGGGGCAGCTGCTCTTTCCCACTGCAGACACTACCAGCTGAAAAGTCATTTACTACTGAATGGCCTAGCTAGTGTCCATCCCTCTAATGAAACAAATGCAACGCGTGTAACCACTAACATCACAGAGAACGCTGTCCCTGTCTAGCAACGCCCCGGTGGTCCGCATCCATAAACAACTTAGCTTGAAAGAGTTTTAGGGCATGGGAAAGGTTTTCAAAAGTGGAACTCACAAGTGAAACTAAGTCAGTGAGTAGCGGTGTATGGGATCAAAAGAAACTCCTCCGTGACTGTAAATATGGTCGACTCTGTAGACGGTTCTGTTCCACATAAAACCTTCCCTCCACCTTAATACTGAACAGCATTCCTTTAAGTGTCTCCTTGCCCAGCCTTTCCACTCCCTGTCAGTCATTTGTTTACCATAAACTATACTTTTACCAGGAATAGTGGAGATCCTACAAGGCTATGCAGACAAGCTGAATGTGGGTTTATGAATGTTGTGTATATAGAGAGTCAGTTGCTACTAGTATCTGTTCCGTTGGTGCCCTGTAGATGCTGGCATATAGACCATGCTTGGGTGTCATTTTCATTTTGCAAAATGGACATTTTAAAAGAAAATTTATGGTTAAAAACAGTTCTGTGCCCCTGTCGGGCTGATGCGAGCCGTTTCTTCAGCTGCCATATTACGTCTAGCCCCTGCTCCTGCATTGGCACCATTGCCAGTAGAGCAGGGGGGGGTCGTTCTGTTTTCTATACGTTTTTGTCACGTGTTTCCTGGAGCTTCTAGAGGGAGATTTTCAGCTTGTTTCTGACCTAGAACTTCTATGTCTTCACCAATAAAACACTAACCACCTCCAGGCGTTTCCTGTTCCTGTCTGTGGTCCCCCCTCGCCCCTACACACAAGGAGCTCTGTCCACTTGGCCCCGGGCCCTGCTCCCCGAGCGCCTGCCGGGTGTGCACTGGGTGCCCTGTGCGCTTAACACCAGCCCCCAGCTGGCTGGACCTCGCTCCCGGTGCCAGAGCATCAGTGCAGGCAGTGTGCCCTCCCCACCACCCTGGGGCCCTGCGCCTGGGGCAGCCTCTCCCCCTGCTGGGAAGGGGGGAGGCCTGTTGTGAAGCCCTGGGGGCTCCCTTGCATCCATGCTGGGCCTGCCTGGGTGCTGCCCTCTGCGGTCTCAGAGCACAGCCCAGACGCAGTCGCAGGCTAAAGCGTGGGCAAGAGGCTGCAGAGGGTGGCCAGGAAATTGCTTCTCCCACCTCACTCCAAGGCTTCCTGGCTGGGCCCAGCTCTCCTCCAGCCACCGCCTCCCCGACATCCACTCTACTGGCCCCTGCCCAACCCCCCCCCCCCCCCCCAGGGCTCTGCCCCCCCAACTCTCTCCTTCCCCCACTGGGCTCTGGCCCCTTCCCAA